TTTGCCCCAGAAACAGGCTGGACATCATTCTGTCTTGAGAACGTGGCAAGCGATTGCTCTTGTGTCACTTATTTTTTGTTTTCTTTCTTATTCTGCTTCTTCTTTGCTTATAAAATTATCAATCCACGAGTTTTCTCATGTTTGCTTTTACTTTTCTATTCTATGGGTATGAGTAAGCAGCTGTGCAGTGCTCAGCTGCCTATCGTGGTTAACCTACAATTCTATGTCATGGCCAAACCAAAAATAATTCATGCTTCCCTAGAAATGAACTACTCATGTACGCCACAAGGAAGCTGCCTAGCAGGGACAGGAACTACAAGCTTCAAAGTTAAAGATGCTGTGTTCCACCTGTAGCCATTTCACCCCTGATGTGATGGTGCAAAGTAAGAATGAAACAGAAAGCAAGTGACCCTACACGTTATTAGTACATGAAATAAAGTGACCACGAGAGGGTACTAGAGACGTAAACCATGGGTGGCTCAGCAGGTCACTTCTAACCAGCAGCCAAACATAAGGCACCAGGAAAACCACTTTTTTTCCATTATGACTTTGGAATCATGTGTATGAACCCTAACTTATCCCTTCCTCCCCCACAGAGCAGGGTTTGGTGACAGCAGGCAGGCTGGAGGGCCTGTGTGCCCTCCATTCATCAGCAGGGATGCATGGAATATCAACAAGGGGAAATTTCCCCAGGTTAATAAAAACTGGGATTTCATGACAATCACCAGTAAGGCAACACATGATATGTCAGCTCTGAGACCTTTTTGGGGGAACAAGTTCCAATGTGGATGTAGATTACACAGGTACTGTTCTGTAATTGCCAAAGTTTACTTTTTGTCACTAATGCATTTTGCTGGCAGAGCTTAAAGGTTGTGTCCCTAAGGATACAGCACCATTTGTGTTAGCAGAGCCTGGCTTTCTCTTCAGACAACAGTCATCTTGGATTGGGTATTATTAGAGGACAAGTGAAAGTGAGACTGTGGGGACAGGGCGAGGAGGGGGAGCGTTATGTGACTTTACATCCATCTTCATCACCGGAGGGTCACGAAAAGATTGCTGTGTTAACAAGCAACAGAGCTCCAAGCACTCATGTCCCAGACGCTGCAGCAGAGAGATCTTTTCAAGGTGAGCAGACTGGCCTAATGGAGAATGTCTCCAGCCAGGGAGATTTATGAAAATCTACTTTATACTGGCAGCAGAAGGCCTGACAAGACTGTTCTCTCCCCAGGGGAGCTACACTGACTATCTCATCACCCCAGAGAGTCTTACTCCCTGGACAGACCACTTGATGCAAGGTCTTACTGTGCCCACATAACAGTCCAAATCTACAGCATTAACCACCTCCTCCACAAACACACACTGCTTGTTTATGTGCTCTTAAGGTTTCTGAAATTCAAACACTTGGCCCAGGAATGTAACTTAAGTACACTGCCTTTCAAGATCCCCTAAGGAGAAATGTTACGGAGGTGGGGGATGGGGGGGGGGACGTGACAAACACTGGGGTTTAGAGAGAGCTCAGACCACATAAAATTACCCCGTAAAATCAACAGCAAATGCCCTGAGATCTGGAAAGTGCACAGATCTGCATTACACCCTGAGCCACCATCTGCACCATGCATCACGGATTTACTTTTTGTCGTTTCATCTTACCCTGCAAGTAATGAATAGCGCAACCGCGGCTGCTCCATCTGCAGCAAGGAGACTGCTGGCACACCCTGTGCTCCGGGCCCATGACCACACTGCTTAGAGCTCCAAACAATATGTTCTTTTACACAATAATGAACAAACTGCCAGCCCTGCTCTCTCCCCATCTTCAGAAATAACCTATGCCTCAGTGTGAAACACTGAAATGATGAAGCTTGCTGGCTCACATGATATAGGGAGGCAAATGTTTCCTGTTGTCCAACTTACAAGTGATATCTTGGCAACTATTTTTCCTGCACTTGATAATACTTACATTTGTAGAGTGATTCAGCATGACTCAGTGTTAGCAGCGGAGGCCAGGATTTACAGGGAGTTCTTACCAAAGCCAGGCAAGGAGATGCTTGGGTCATAAAGTAACTGCAAGCAGTTTTTGTTTAGGGTGTATCTTCGGGGAGCTGATGTGAGAAAGGATGCTGTAAATAACATCTGGCTTTTTATTATCTAGATGCCCCATTAAATGCAAACATGCTTTAACTTGGTAGAGGCTTGTGAAAGAAGGCAGCAAAAAGCAGTATCATTTTGCATGTTTTTCATGTAAATTTTTTTATGCCACAAATTGCAAGACTTAAATATAAAACCGGAGCTGAAAGGCTGTCCCTACAAGGAAGCAAAACATCATCATCAGAGTAGCTGCTATCTCTGTGGTTTACAAATTACATGTTTCTGCTTTACTGATTTCCTGAGTTGGGTGATGGAAATACAGAGATGAGAAATAGGAACCACCAGCTTGTGAGCTTGATCAAAGCTACAAAAGTGATTCCACATTCCTGGATTCAATGAATTTTCAACACTAGTGCCTTTGGAAACAGAAGAGGTTTGGGTTGGGGAAAGAACAAAGAAGGAAGGACTTAGAAATATTTCTGTTGAGTAAAGACCATGGAGGGAAAAATGACACGAATTGCAGTGTGCATTTTGAGAATCTGCGCACAGCTGGAAGATCATCTGTCATCTGGAGGAGAAAGTCTATGTAACACTTCTGTATCCTGAGGTTGTACAATTTTCAGAAGACAAGACCTGGGTTTCTCTCACTGGCATCACACTGGTGTCTAATTTAGACAAAATTTTCATTGATTTAAAAGACCCTGACATATGCTTGTAGATAATTCCCAAGCTGCTGCAAAGCCAAATGCCTATTAGAAATGTTTGATTGCCTATTCTTCTAAGAAAGCTGAACTCACTGCAGTAGCCTGGCAGAGACTTATCCTTCACAAACAATAAAGTGATAGTTTACCTAGACATAGGGAGAAAAACGAGAATATCATTCCAAATTCACTAGGTGCTAGGACCTAGGCTAATTCACTATGTAAGACAGCATCTATCAATTAAGCATGGTTAATTACAGGTTCCTGAGAAGCTCTCAGAAATGATATCCCTAATTGCTGAAAGCAAGCCGCAGACTGAATTATAGTGGTGTTGGTACAAGTCTCAGCCGAGCAGCAGGGCTGCACAGAGTGAATGGTATGCAGAGAAAATGCAAAGAGCTCAAATGCTGAACTCAGTTTCAGCTCCTGGACCAGAATATTTTATTTACAATGATGGCATTTTCCTCTCCACTCAGAGCAGGGGTAGTTATGTTAGATTTAAACAAAGATCAAATTATCAGCTATTATTAAGGACTTAAATGTCATTTTTTGCAGTAATTGAATTAAACATCCTTACATACCTGTGTCCTCCCTCCCTTTTTCCTTCTATCCCCCTTGCCTGTTTCTTCCTAGTTTTTGTTTCTCCTCCTTTTCCCTGCATTGCTCTCTGCAGTGTTCCAGTTTCCACCCGTTCTCAATTTCCTTCCATAATATAACATAGACAACATTGAAAAGGCCATTTTAGTTCCTGTTTCAAAGATGTTAACAGGGTCAACAAGATTCAGGCTTCTGAAAACCTTTTTATTAAACTGTCTGTAGATTCGGGGTTTGAGCATAAGACATTTTATCAGTGTCACTGTACCGCTTATATAGCAGGACAAGTTCCCATTATCTTTTATGCCACAAGAGACAGATGCAGTCTACACAGAGTAGATTAAAGTAGATAATTATAGAGTTGCACCTTGAGATGCTGCATACTGTCCACCCCATTGCATTGTAACAGAAAGGTCCAATCCTAGAGCGTAGAGTTGCAGATGGCTTGAACCCAACTCACCTAAACGCTTGTCTAGACAAATGTGCTTCTAAAACTGAGCTTAGACACTGTATAATCCCAGTAAAATGTGTTAGCTAGCCTCATTAAAACCCAAGTTCATTTTAACCAGATAACATGCATTAAAATACAATTTGAACCACAAAAACCTTGGCTTTGTGTTACCTAACATATACTGTTCTCGAAAAGTACCTGCTTTGTATTTTAGACTAGACATGACCATCCATCTTGATGGGTTAAACTGGTTTATTTTTCAATAATGTTGGTTCAAGTGAGTTAACAAGATCAAAAGCTCCCAACACCCGTTAAGTTGCAGGCTAACGCACTTGGAAGGCACATTATAGGGCTGTGCTTGGAGACGCGCATGGAGAGGAGCCCAAGTTTCAACTTGACGGGCCGGGTGCTTACTGTGAGCGAGGTGCCCATTTCCCACCCAGAAATGATTTCCCACCACAGCAGCAGGGGCACGGTCCCAGGGGTCAGACCGGGCGGGCTCCTCCTCCCGTCGCCAAACCCCCACGACTCGCACCCGCCTCGGGCAGCCTCGGCCCGGGGCCGAGCAGCGCTCCCTCGGCAGCGCCGGCCCCGCCGGCCCGGGGGCACCGCAGCGTGTCCCCAGAGACCGCGATGCAGCAGCGGGGGGCGCGGACACCCCCAGGAGGACACGAGGCATCTGCTCCGCTGGCAAACGCCACCGCACACTCCTTTCCGCGCTGCCCCTGCCCGAAAAGCTCCCCACGCCCGGGACGCGCCGCAGACAGCGCATCCCTCGGGGCGGCCCCAGCGCTCGCCGCCGGCCCCCCTCACGCCCCCGCCGCCACCGCCCTTCCTCCCCGGGGCTCCCCGGCCCGCCCAGGCTCCTCCTCCTCCTTTCTCTCAATGCACCCTCCCTCCCTCCCTCCCTCCCTCCCTCCCGTCGCCGGCGCCCGCAGCCCCTCGCCGGACTTTCCTTTCGCTCCTCCATCTCTGCTCGGCGCCCCGAGTCCTCCCTCGCCCTGCCCGCCTTGTCTGGCTGTGCCGGGGCAGCCCGGGGAGGGGGCGGGACGGGGCGATGAGCCGGGCGGTGGCGGCGCGGAGCCGAGCAGCAGCAGCAGCAGCCGCGGCCACGGCGTAGGGCTCCTCTCCCGGGCGGGACCGGGGCTGTCCCGCGGCGCTCGGCGGCTTCTCGGGGCAGTGGGGAGCCCCCGAGCCGTAGGGGAGTTCTCTCCCCCGGAGTCAGGGCAGCAGGGGTGGCGGCAGTCGAGCAGGGGTGGGTCGTCCCCCGATGTGTGACATGATCGACTCGCAGTCCGCCGAGAAGATCAGCAGGATGAAAAAGTTGCGGAGAACTTTATCGGAGAGCTTCGGCCGAATAGGTGAGTCCCGCGGCCGGGCCCTGCCGGCGCTGCCCGGCGCCCGGGGGTCCCGGCGGGGAGGGGGCGGTGGGTCAGCGCTGCCAGGCTGGGAACACGCGCGCCGACACCGTCCCCGAATGACGTTTCTTGGCAAGAAAGCTCGGGAAAATAACAACTCTTGCAGTCCCAGCAGTGCTGCATGGGTCCGTGATGGAGTTAGCCCAAAATCGGCTGGGAAGAACAAATTATAAATGAGAGTTGGCTCGCGTGCCCCCGCTGCCAAAGGGAAACCTCGACCAAAAGCAATCGGTTATTTTCGATTTGTTGCAGGTCTGGTAATTTGTGCGGGCTGCAGGTTGGTTTTAGTTGAGGAGCGAGATGCTGAAGAAGGTAACGGTGGCCCGGGGATTTAGGAGGCCAGACAAAAGAAGTCTGTCTGTCATCTGCTGCGAAGTCTTGTCGTTCTGTCACTGGCAGAAAGCATCGTGAGGTAGCGTCATCTGAATGCCGCTGCATGTTACCTCCTGGTGTCACCACATCGTGTTTGGTTTCGACACCAGTTTATTTTGCAGTTGACTTTTTTACAGAGAACAATGCCAAAGAGTTCTGGTCTGCTTGGACTGGTGTTTCTCTTAGTCTTTGGCACTCTGTGTTGCTTAATTCACTGTTTAAAACGTTAATTCCTGCTAAAAGCATCAACACACAGCTGAGCAGGGAGAGAAGGTACATCAGAAGAGATGTGAAGTACCCCCAGTTGGCTGAGCAAAGCAGCTGGAGATAGTGCTGTAATACCTGTGAGCAGATGCAGCAGCCCCTGTCCTTGCAGACCTTCTGTAAGGGCCCTTCCACAGCCCTTGCCCATTGGTCTTCCCGCTGAGATCTTTCTCCTTACAGTCAGTCTGGCTGGCAGACCTGGGTCAGTTGGCAGGGCCTCTTTGTCCCAGTGAGAGAACGTGAAGTGCCTGTGCCGCAGCCATGAGCTGGGGCACTTTTCTTCCTCAATAACCCTACCGAGGAGGTGCGCTGGAGTACTTGAGCATTAGGATTTTTCACATGTTGTGTATGCATTCTGTGTACCACCTTTAGCTTTTAAGGAGTGCAAGCTTTTAAGTGTATGATCGGATTCAAAATCAGTTTTTTTTTATTGTCCTACTGCAAGATGAAAAAGACTGAGAAAAGCTCATTCATATTTGTAAACCAGAGAGTTCAAGGGTAAATGCAAAGTTACAGTTGTGAAGCAAATGTTGAGTCACTGTTATGAATCTCTCTGTCCCTATATGAAAATAGCTTTCATCTATCACCAATCTTAAACTTGTAAAATATGTTTAACTTTCTTTGATTGTTAAAAAATGAGGCAGTCAGGTGTTTGGTCTGATATGTGTCTCCGTGCGTGTATAGATGCAGAGAGACACTCTTCCACAGAACTATGGGAAGGTTTTACTAATGGTGGAAGTCATTAACAAAGAAAATGTTTTGAATGAGGATGCTGCTTTGTTGTAACAGTGACAGTCCTGTTAATGCCTTTTAGGGAGCAAGGCCCCTCTGGCTGGTAATTTCTGCATGTTTTACTTACCTCGGTTGGGTGATCATCTATTTTTGTCATTTTGCACAAATGAAACAACCTTTTAGTTTCCTTGGGAGCTCTGGCCTGATTTTAGGTACATGGATTTTTATGTTTTACAGCTCCTCCAGTTCTGTGTTTATATGTGCAGGTGTGTAGGAGTGTGGTTGGGTGAGGGGTTTGTTTGTTTGTTTGCTGGTGGTTGTTTTGTGTTTAAAACAGCTGCTACCAGCAAGATTTTTCAATCTTCAGGTGCTATAATATTTTGGCCATCATTCTAGTAACTGCACTTTGAGCGAAAAACTTCTAATTTATCTGTATGAGGTTTGAACATAGTCCGTTTCTGATACCAGAGCCACAGATAAGCCCAAGCAAAGAAACTCTAAACTTGCATACCAGGAAATCCTTGGTTAAAACATGTGCTGTACTTAACTCTTATACTGAAGTGGAGGAAAGAAAACCAAAATCTCACTGGAAAAAGTCTTTCTGGGTATTTTTCACATGGGTTTTAAAGTTCTTTTTGTAAGAGCTAGTTGCTTGGTGAGATTAACAAATTACAAATTTTATGGGTATCTAATTGTAATTTTGTCAGTCATCTGTTCAGTTGTGATTTATTATAAATAGTAAATTCCTGACAGTGTTCAAGGCTAGGTTGGATGGGGCTTTGAGCAACTTGATCTAGTGTAAGTTGTCCCTGCCCATGGCAAGGGGGTTGAGATGATCTTTAAGGTTTATTCCAACCTCAACCATTCAGTGATTCTATAAAATAAACATGATCTATTAACTTTTCTTGTTCTGCTGCAGTTTCTGTGTTTTCATGGGTTTAAGTACACAACATAGCATCATGAGCGTAGTCCTATAAATGATATGAGAGTAATATGGTGTTTGAATCAAACAATTAGGGAGTCAAACCTTCCTGTGCTGCAGTAGGGAAGATCTAATGACCATTCTTTCAATGGTAAGTCACCGCTAGGCCTCCCTGCTGTGTTTGCAGCCTTCCATCTGCCAAATACAATTCTCTCAATACTGCAAGATCCCAAACTTTTGATACCAGATTTCAATACCAAAGTTTATATTAGCCTCTTAGATAAGAGTGGTGGAAATGTATCCTAATTGTCATTGGCAGTGTTTTTTTTTCCTTAGGGCTTGCAGGTTAGTACTCAATAAACTGCCTTTCAGACCACCTTCTCTCTACCAAGTAATACTATTTGAGAGGTTATATTTGCAATTCATTTATAAGATTTTTTTTTTACAGTGTGCTAAACTATGTTAAGTAATATTTGAAGCTGTTTCCCCAACATCTCCAGATAAAGCCATTGTAGTTATTCAGGGGGCACAGCAGAGCCCAAAGAGTACCAATGGCAGGCTCAGGTAGACCTGGCCCATTTTCTCACCTGTGAACTGATGCTTTGGAGCCATTGGCTTTTCAGTGGCTGGCAGAGGGTGATGAAGATCTGGCTCATCATGCAAAACTGTGATCGGTCCCATAACTGTTAGAGTACCTATTACTGGAAATGTTTATTTTGCTGAGCTGAAAAAGTGATGTATGAAATTGCCCATCACAGAGCCTTTTCCTTAGCATTCTCTTTGTGTCATTATGTGCAAATCTGGCAAAGGATGATACAGCACTGTGGTATATTGGAGGAAATGTGTGTGGCCTGTGGTGCTAAATTGAAGTTTATGTTCTAAAAGAGACAGGGTGGCTTTTTGCTGTAGAAATTACATGCTCCTAGTTCTAGAGAAATGAGCTGTCTTTGCAGCTAAGGTACCCTTTTCTCCTGGCAGAAATTTTCTGGTATTTCAAGGAGTGTTCCTCTAAAATTTATCTCATCATAAAGAACTTATATTACTAAGAATATGAAAAGTTTACATCATTCTTTTCATTGATATGTTTGTGTCAACCTATCCATTTTTATACAGACATCCATATTAGTTTAAAAGATCTGGTTTCCTTACATACTCTGTTGGCCATATAAATGAATGCATCATAACTGTATGTTAAGATTCAGTTGACTCACTGTTTATTTTAGCATTTAAACCTTTATTAGGGTTCGTTCTTAGTTTTTCACTTTGATAATTATGTAATTAAAATTAATAACGAGTAATTTCATAAAATTAATATTAGTAATTTAGTTATGTAAAGAGTTCTTAGCTATGCATTTGTTGAAATTCATATAGTACCAAAATCATATTTGAGATCTCTTCAGCTGACGCCACTTAACTTCTGGTTTTTTATACAGTTTCTTTAGTCAAAAACTAACACCAAGTTGCAAGGAAAGGAAGGAAGAAAGAAAGAGAAAACATTGATGAGATTGATCACAGTGTGCTGAAAGCAGTCTGTGGCCCTTCTGAGCATCCCTGGGCTTTGTTAGTAGCTACTCACTAATACAAAGGTTATCTCCACTAATCTCCTCTGATGTACATACACATAGCTCACATACCTGAGATAATGAGAAGTTCATTTGTAAACAGTTTATTTTTTTTTTAAGTTCAGCAGAGCTTTTTTTTTTTACCAGTTTAAAAATGAAAGGGTTGCACTGAGGAGAAAAAAAAAATTTAATACAGTTTGTTGTATAAAATATACTACTTTGATGTTTTCTTTTGGAAATGCTATGTTGTGAATTGGTTGGGACTGATAATATTATTAAACAGAATATTATTAAAAGGGTGACCAGAACTCTCATTTTCTTTGGTGATTCTTAAAGGCCCTCTTTTAGTCAAAGGTAGATGTTAAAGGCAAATGAAATATGTGCAGTGATGAAAGATTCCCATTTCTTCTTGTTCTGTTAGGTGGTGAATTTTGTTTAGCAGTCTGTAGTTTGGCTATTTCTGGAATGTTTTGATCATGTGAAAATCTTGTGTTTTGGTAAGGGAGAAAAGCATGACCTCGGTGTGTCATATACTAATTTATAGCTTGTAAGTCATTGTGACCTGAACTGTAATTGAGAAGATAAAAAGTGTATTCTTAAAAAGTGTTCCACAAGTTGGGGTATTTTCTTTCTTCCTTTCTTCCTTTCTCCATTTTTCTTTCTTTCTTTTTCTTTCTCTTTCTTTTTTTCTTTCTTTCTTTTTTCCTCTCTTTCTCCCTTCCTCCCTTCCTCTCTTCCTCTCTTCCTTTCTTTCCTTTCTTTCCTTTCTTTCCTTTCTCTCTCTCTTTCTCTCTCTCTTTCTCTCTCTCTTTCTCTCTCTCTTTCTCTCTCTCTTTCTCTCTCTCTTTCTCTCTCTCTTTCTCTCTTTCTTTCTTTCTTTCTTCTTTCCTTTCTTTCTTTCTCTTTCCTTCCGGTTTTTTCTTTCTTCCTTTCTCCCTCCCTTCCTTTCTTCTTTTCTTTCTTCTCTTTTCTTTTTCTTTTTTGAATGTCCTGACTCATAGTTCTGAGTACTTGGGATTGGCAATCTGAAAATGTTTTGTTCACCCTTCATAAAAAACCCATTTCATTATAAGAGTGTACAATGTGTGCCTCAGATCTCCTCAGCAAAATACCAGGGTTTGTTTTATTTTTGTTGTTGTTGTTGTTGTTGTTTGTTTTTTTTTTTAACTGACCATGAAATCTAGATGAGTAACTGTAAAACAGTGATCTTCAAAGATTTGAGAGAAGATATGTTTAAAGGAAGACTGGACCTTCCTTGGTTTTCTGTATGAGAATAACTGGGATTCCTGCCTTGCTGCCCTTGGTGGAGGTTCTGGAGCTGCAGCACTGTTTGCACAGGTGTCCTGCCTCTGTTGTACCTCTGATGCAGCTTCTACGGTTGTTTTTGTTTTGGTTTGGTTTCTTTGTTTTTGAGCTGATAACACAGTTGCTCCTGAAGACATGTTTTAGAAGAGGTGTTGGTTTTGAAACTACTAGTGATTTGAAGGCAGAAGGAGCATCTAAAAGAGCAAAGAAACTACTGGAGCCTAGATCCTCAGCCATGCTAGGTGCTTAAGTATTTATATCCCGCAGAAATAAATGCATTTGAAGTGTAAGAAACACTACACTGCTTAAACGATGAGGAGGGACCCTTCTGGGGCAGCACTGCACAAACCATACGGTCTTTCAGATGACCTCGCTCAAATTGTAAACCTTCGTGATTTAAACTGAAAAGAAACAGCACAATCATCAATGCAATGGTTTATCTAATTTTAGCTCTTCAAGAGAAGGAAACAAAGAGCACTTTCAGGTCATGACGCGCTGCCCCTGGTGGGTTTGGTTGTGGTGCACAGAGAAAAGGAACCAGCCTCGTACCTTCAGACTGACACGGTTCAGTGGAGATTTGGAGAAATTAATTTTCTATATATTTCAATAAAGATGTCCAGTATGCTAAAGGAAAACTCTTCATCAGCTTTATCTTTGCTATGACTTCAGAACTATTCATGTTTTTGTTTTCTTACTTTACCAGTTCACATGTCTTCTGCACTGGTTTCCCCTTCCTTGTTTGTTGATTAATTGCTTGTTAACAATGTGAGAAAGAAATCTCCTCTTCTTTAGTGTAAGCCATATTAAAATAATATAAAAGGAAAAAAATTCTACAATGCATTCTACATCATAAAGGTTTAGTACTTGAGAAACTGAATATGTGGTTAGGTGTTTATTACACTTTTCCTATTTGAAGTTCAGTCAAGCTCTTCATAAAGGGTTTTCACACTCACTAGGAATTAAAATAAAAAATAAAAACCACCCTTACAAACTCTTATTTTCTTTAACCGGAGAGGATAATATTTTTCATAAATATGTAAATTTACTTTCTTGGAAACACTGTGCAGTCCTACATTCCATTTACAGATTCAGATTTTGAGTATAAAATTGTATTCATGCCAGCTAGTTCTTTCCTACTATAACAGGAAAATGATGCTCTGTTTTTTCTGGTGTTGGTTACTTTGTGCTCATTGAAATGCAGTACAGATAACAATTTCTTTTTTCTTTTTATTTTAAAGCCTTGAAGAAAGAAGATAGCAGCTTTGATGAGGTAGGTTAAATATCTTTGTACCTTACATAGCCCAGGTATGCCTTAGTATTTCTCAATAACTCTAGAAGAAACCCATAGATAGTAATGTTATGATGTGCATGTGTGTTAGTACATGCATATTGCTCGAATGTATTTTCCAAATAACTGCCAGAAGAATTTGTTAGCTGAAAGCTCTGAATGGAATGCTGGGGGTTTTTTGGAATATAATAAAACTGAATGTTGTATGAAAGGTGCTCATTGACAACCATTCAATGCAGAGGAATATTGCATGCAGAGAAAATACTTTATAGAACTTTGCCAATGGTAATTCTCATAATTGTAAACCTGTATTGTAACAGAGGGGGAAAAAAACATCACTCTTGACAGAACACCTTACATAAAGTGCTGCTACATTGACTTCTTGATGAATATGTCAACTGAGAGAGATGCTTCTTAGGAAATTAAAAAAAAAAACACAAAAAACCAACCAACCCAACAGCACAAAACCAGCAGCTAGTTGTATTGATTATTCAATGTAATCACCTTGTGGTCTTGACCTATCTATGATATGAATGTTAATTTGTAAAATCTGCTGCTCACGATTTGTGCCTGAGAGGTCCAGGTCAGTGCAAGTTGTCCTGCAGAGCAAGTTTATGCAGGAAGAGGTGTAGGTCTTGGTGTGGTGACTTGTCATATTGTAGTCAATACTTGCCTTGTACTTCCCTCTGCCACCATAGCTGGAAGCAAATGGAAGTATTTTCATGCGTCGATATTATGCTTCTGGCATTTCTGTGTTTTCTTCTTCATTGCATGCTGCAAGCTTAAATTCTTGGCTTATTACAGTGAGATAGCTGTTGTGTAATGCCAGATTCTAGAATAAATAAATGATGATGTAATGTCCTGGATTCTGGATCAAATCAGACTTCTCTTTCTAAACAGATCACATTGATGCTCAAATGCAGTAATAGCAATATAGATGTTTTGTGCTTTTCTGACATGCCAGAAAGCTGTTTCTTGGCTTGACCCCTCCCAGGTCTGGAGTGAAGGTCATGGGGTCAGGCTCTGTTTTCAGGAACTCTTGTTGCATCATGCAGTGGTCCCAGCTATTTTATTTCTCTTGTAACACTGATAGAATTTGTTCCCTCCTAGAAGTTAAACCTGTGTGGATATGTAGTTGGTAAACTTTGAAGCCTTGTTTTACAACCCTTGGTCTGTTTTTGTCCAATAGTTTCTTCTGAAGGCTGCAGTGGTCTATTTGTGCTGTAACTTACCCAGTGAGTACCTCGTATTAAATTTGATACAGAATTTGAAAGGGTCCATTAAAAAAAACTGTCTTACGAAGATGGCAATTTTTCAGTCCCCTCTCCTTCCCCAGGATTGTTTATCTGCAGGTTGCATTTATTTTCTTTAAACCTGTTTTTCTGCTTGAACAGGACACAATTTGAGCAAATTTTTGTTTAAATTTTGGAGATTGGGGGGAAATAATCTTTCAAATATGTTTTCAATGGAATCTGATAGATTGTTGATGTGAGCTACTGCAGAGACAGTGAGAGGTGGCTAGTGAGAAGGGTACACAGAAGAATTTTCTTCCATCTCCTGTAAGTAGGGAAGAGCTTGATGTGACATAAGCATCAATTGGTTCCATCATTTTAGGTGTCATTTCTTAGAAGAAAGAAAAGTGTGCTGAGATTTTATGTTGTCATCTTCAAATTCAACAGAACAGTTCTTGGTGATTTTCTAGCCTAAAGTGTGAATCAGAGAATGGGCTGTACCCCATATCACTTAATTCCTTTCCTTTCAAGCATCCTTCAGATCAGAAGAAGAAACAGACTTTGGTAACAATAGTATACCTGATTGTAATGAAACGTACTTCTATGGGAGACAGTATCTGTGAGCAGAGGAGTGGGCACATTTGTTGTGTGATCAGAAGATCACCTTGAAAAACACTACTAAGACCATACCATGATATAAAAGGAAAGCAATCTAGTCTTCTGACTAGTATATGTAGTATTCATATATCAGGGTTGCAGTTATGAAGGAAGTTAGAATAACAGTAAGTGGAATATCAGATGAGAAGAAGAGAGGAGGTAGTTGTCCAAGCTGTCCGAAGCTGTATGTCAGCTTTGTAGGTCTCCTACTAGAAAAAAATGAAATAGTCAATTATTGGAGGAGAAATTGCATTTAACAAGCAGCACATTCTTCCTTTATGGTTAGTGGAAAGATACTCTTTTTCCTTTCGTGGTGCTGAAAGATACTGTGTATCTCTTCTCACCCTGTGCTTCCCCTTTCCTGCAGGGAGGTTGACCTGTGAAGCAGGACGTGAACAAGTAGCAATGAACTTGCCAATGGATTTTACGCTATTGGCAGGTGGAGAAGGAGGAACTTGTGTTTTAGCCTTTCCAATTGTGATCAGAACACCAGCAGCAGAAGCTGGCCAGCAGGGACTTGAAATCTCTGAGGGGGGAGGGAAAGTGGGATGAAGAGGAAAGATGATCCTTATAAAGCTGCAAGGTTTGGATTGGCAGCTGAGTCAGTTGTTAGCTTATTCTGTGCATTGTTGGTGCTACATGAAGTGCTTACTTGTTTGTCTCTCAAGAAGCGAGGGGGAAAAAATTGAGCTGTTCAGGGGCTCTTATTTTACCTGCTTTAATTGCACACAGTAGCTGAGAAATGTACAGCACTGCAGGAAGTCGTCTTTCTTTTCAAGAGAAACTACTAACAATTAAGATGTCAAACATGACAGGCAAGTGTACCACATAATTGCTTTCTGTGGGTTATGAAATTAATCTCTCCAGTAAATTAGGACCAAAAGAATCATAAGCAGTGAATCCTGTGAATGAGTTGTGTGTCAGAAAATATTTTTATTTGTAGAATTGTTTCAGGGATCTTAGTGGTGTATTTAGTCCAGCCTGTAAGGTCAGAGCACAACAATATTGAAAGGAGTAGTGTAGGATTTATCACTTTTTTTCTGCCTGCTGTTGTGTTGCTTTGATTAAATTTTGAGGGGAAAAAACCTCTTTTCTCTAGATGCTGCCAGCTTTAACTTTGGTCTGTGAGATCACTTGAATTAATCCATTTAATGGATTTAGTGGCAGTCTGCTCACCTTCCTAAGATGTTATGACATCTTCCAGAGACTCATATGACTAAAGGAGTGGATATAGACCACTCTTTCTATAGTCTTTTGTTCAAAGCAGTGAAGTAATCGTGTGGTTTTGTTTTTTTTTTTCTTTTTTTTTAATCTTTAGTCTGTTCCTTTTTGTCATACTAGTCACATTGTGGGAACTGAAACACGGGCCTGCACCAGTATGACTGAAATCAGTGGGAAGATTCTCTGTGTTTTCGGTGGTTTGTGGATTGGTTTCTTCTGTCATGAAGTATCATGACTGGGGTGGCGAGGGAGGGGCAAGCTGTTCTTCCCTGTTTTCAAAGTTAATCTGTTTGAATGGGAGTGAGTAAGGCATCTTCTTGTATCCTGAAATGTACCTTGCCTGTTCTCCAAAGCAACCTAAGTTTCACTCTCTGAGTATAGGTTTTGGCACAGTTAGCATCTGTTTTGCAGTTTTAGGCAAAGCACTGATTATCTAGTCAGGATACCAAGATAAAATGAACATCTCTGAGGAGCAGCTCTACATGAAAAGAGCGGTCTATAAACAAATGTGTCCCTTGAGTGAACATTTTATTTGTGCTCCAGTAGTTTGTCAAAGTTTAGATTTAACTTCCAGCTACCCAGGATTGCTTTGAAGCCTTTGGACTATTGGTGTAACAAGTGTCCACTCTGTCTTAAAATGATGGAGCATTTTCCTTTTCATTTGAATGTGATAAAGGCCAGTAACATGTGGCTGAATTGTAGCATGTTTGTGGGAATGACATCCAGTGTTGATGTTGTGACTAAACACAAAGCTGGTAACCTCTTCCTTTGGTTAGCTGCTTATTGTTGTGATTTATTTCTAAATTATTGTCAGTCAGTCTCGAGCTGTTGGTTCTTCTCCTTCTGTTGTTGATTTCTCTAAGCACTTATGTCATGGTTTAAGAACTTCAATCGTATGTGTGCACACTAAATACATTAATACCAATGTCACAATGAAATCAAATTGCTTTGATTATTGCTTCTTATATAGTGAGTCGTATTGCCATTGCTTAGCTGTATTTTAATCTTAATTTTTCCTAATATCAAGAGCACTATTTCTTTGTTACGGCCGCCTTTCTTAGGAAATTAGGGTACTGTGATTGTGCCTGCTACATGTGTAATACTGTCTGACTTCACCCAGTAACTTTGAAGCTGGCTGACACTAGATATTTAGATGCTTGATGGAAAAGCATGTGAGCTGGCTGAGGGATAGAGATAAGAATCTCCTTTGATGGAAAAGCTGGAATGCGAGTTCTTGTGAGTACATGAGGATCTGTTTGGAGGTGTTATGAATACTCTGAACTCCTCAAAATCCTTGATACCCATCTACTCCTTACTACATTTAGAATGTCCAACTCTGAGCAAGCCAAATTTCGTTTATTTCACTCATGGAACAGCTTCCATGTGTTTGAAGTGGAAGTGTGTGAAAGGGGAGGGAGTTTTGCCAAGTTACTTCTTGATTCTGTAATGTGCTTGTTCTCACAGTCTGTCTCTCTCACCCCAAACTGAAAAGGCTACTCCCTCTGTGGGATGTTGGCATGAAAAATGTCTTGGTTTAAAGGACACCCATCTCTGAACCAGAACTTTTGTGTAGAGATTATTTGGAATTTGAAGAGTTAAAGGAAAGGGTGTAGTTGGAAAAGAGAAGGGCTGTGTAAAGCATGAATGAGAGGCATTTGAATGCCATAATGCAGAAGGCACATAATACACTAAATAATTTTTCTGTATTTTTTTTAAGTTTTATTTACAGTAAGTAGTTTGAGAGAGAAGTACATGTAGAAAATATAGATACAGAACTATACCTTTTCCTCCTGCAGGAATTATGGGAGATGGAGGAGAGAAAAAATCTCGCTCTTTTGAGACTGTTACTTTTTGTAGGATCTTGGAGTAAAC